CAACATTTTCTGTTGCCATCTTTTAAAGTCAGTTCCTAAGAACTTCTCTGGCTTTTCACCGTGATTTACCGGTACTGTTACAACAGGAGAGGGGGTTGGGGTTGTGATGTGATCAAAAATATCACATGGACCTAAAAATCATATTATGACTTGCTACCTGCATCAAATTATTCCTCACCCTACTGCTCCAGATTCTCTCTCTCTCTCTCTCTCTCTCCCCCTCCCTCTCCCTCCTCCATTTTCATGCATATTTTCTCTCTCTTCCCTAAACCTTAAGGAAACGAAACACAGAAACCAAAGTTCTCAGTAAGCAACAAAAGCAGACTCTCAGATGCCATCTTGATTCTCTTCACTACCAACAAAAATACAGCCTTAACATTCTCTCTCTTCCATATTCATGAAGCTGTGAGAAATCAGATTCAAGTCGCTATCATGTTCGTTTTCCCCTAACGGTACGTTTTGTGTGGTTTTATACATAGATTGATACGAATTGCTTGTTTTATTGATCTGTTTTGACCACTGAATTGACGTGAAATTTGCGATCTTGTTTGGCGATCTTATTGTGATTGAGGTCTTTATATATATAGATCTGATATGGGTTAGTATAATTGTGATTCAATTTGGGGATTTTAAGCTCTCGATCTGGAAATTTATCAACTTGGCTTGCCATCGATTCAAGATTTGGGCTTGAAATCTGAAATGCAAGCTCTCTTCTCTAAGTTGAATTCATAATTTTGTGTCTTCAATGTTATTGCTCTTTGCAAATCAATTTTCAATCATTACATGAGATTCTAATATTTGGGTCCACTTTACTTTTAAGTAATTAGGTTAGTCATGATTGTTCTGTGAGTGAATTTCCTGTATCTTTATTGTAATTATTGGCTAATTTTGCTAGAACTAGTTGCAAATTTAGGGTTAGTAAATTAATTAATAGTTATGCTTACAGATTGTTTTTAGTTTTAAATTAATATACTCACAATTTTTTTGATCAATTTCTAGAGTTTAACTTGTAGTTTTCAAGTTTTTTTTTAGATCTTCGAGCTCAAACGAATAGTTCAAGGATTATGTAGTATAGCTATAGTAACAATGTCTGCTATTATATTGTTCCCATAGATGCTACTGCTGTAAATTTGATTGGATGGTAGCTATTTTTCAGAAAATTGGGTTACTGAAACAGACAAAAATCTTGGGTTTATGCTGAAGTGTGCAGATTCTCTTATGGAGGAGGAGGGATAAAGATTTTTCTGCAATCTTCCGTAAGAAATAAAAGAAAATGGCTCCAGCTAACAAGGCTGAAAAGAAGGCATCAATTGATGCGGCTGCATGGATGTTCAATGTAGTAACATCTGTTGGGATCATTATCGTTAATAAAGCCTTAATGGCCACATATGGCTTTAGTTTTGGTAAATTTCCTTTTAATGTCTTGTCATTATATTTGATCAATTGTATTATGATGTCTTGGACAATAATGATATGTTAATTCCTTTGTATCACCTAGGTGTCTTATTTTCTCATAATGACAACTAAAACATGGGTTTTTCCTTTGGCTACTGATTAGAGAGCTTTTCAGGAACTTTCAATCAAATGATGGGTGGGGCTCTAAATTCAATTCGGCTAGGACATCTTAGGGGGTTGTATTGTGGTTGAATGTTGAAAAACATGAGAAAAGTGAGTTAATGAAATGCAAGAGTCATAGGCATTAGTATTAGCTGGATTGGAATTGAGTAGCATGTATTTTCCTATATTTCTTGAGGATTGTTCCCAACTTACATTACCTATATTGTCCTATATTGTTGTCTTGTCTATTAATCAGATGAAACAATATGAAACACTACTGCAAAGCCATATGATAATTAGGGACTTCATCCAAACACATTAGAAGCATTAATGTGTGCACAAAGTTGGTTGTGGGGTGCGGAGATGAAAGGTATTATTTCATCTAATCTATATATTATTATTTCACTTTTATTATTTATATTACCATGGAATAATTTCAATGCTGAATTTATATTCTTTACTTTTTAGGAAATTTAACATTAGAATCGGTGGGCTATGCAACTATATATGATGATGATGAGATTGACTCGGAATTTACTTTTTAGGAAATTCAACATTGGAATTGGGCTATGCAACTATATATGATAATGATGATGAGATTGTCTCGGAAGAGTCATGTGCCACTTTTGTGTTAGTTGTCATCTTTTTTGTTTAAATTGTTAACATTTTTTTACATTTTATTATTAGTATTAATTATTTGTTTCTTTCCTTTTGTTATTTAACAGGAATTCAAGTTGAAGGAGATGATGAAAGTAGTTGTGTGGTTTGTATGAGAATTGGAGAAACAATTCATTTGATTTTTTATGTTGTAATGGGAATTTTTTTTTTTTTTAAATTTCAATTTTTGGGTAACCTATCCCTTGCGGGTTGTGCTTGGGACTAATTATTCTCTTTGCAACTTGTTGAATTTTCTTGTGTGGGGCTGCTAGACATCTGTTTTGTTGTTTGTGTTATTTTGTTGAATAGGATGCTTTTCTCTCTGCTATGCTAAATGCTGCTGGACAGATTCTTTGTTTAGAATGCTGCTGGACAGATTCTTTTTTTTTTTTTGAGAATTGCTGGACAGATTTATTGATTTGTATATATTGATTTGAATAGGACTATTTTGCTAGACAGAGTTATTCATAGATGTTATTTTGTTCTTTACAGATACAAAATATGTTGACAAATATCATATTTGAAATAAGTTTGAATTAGATGTTTATAGATTTTTTTAATTTGAAAATGTCACAAATATGTTTGAATAGGATTGTTTGAAGAGTTACAAATATGTTTGAAAATATATTTCAGATTTACAAATATGAAAATATGCTGGACAGAGTTTCAAATATGTTTACAGAAAATATGATGGACGGAGTTACAAATATATTTGAAAATATATTTCAATAGGATTGTTTACAGATCAAAAAAAAAAAATACCACCGGGGATTTTTCGGGATCGGGGATCGATCCCCGATCGGGGACGGGGACGAGGGCGGGCTATGGGTCCCCGTCGGGGATCGGGGGCGGGGCCGGGGACTGGGAATATCTCACTTTCGGGTGTTGGCTTGGAAAGATGTAAGCCCATAGGGCATTTAATTTGATGTTACATGTAATGTTTTTATTTAGTAATACTCTGATGAACGAATTAATAGATTGTTTTCTTTAAATAATGCATGCTGATGATATACATATATTGGGTTTATTTTGAGGGTGTTACACAAAAATTATAATTCCACGACTAAAACACTTTTTGGTCACCGAAAATAAATATTTACTGACTAAATTTTGGTCTCCAAAGATTAATAGCAAATATTATGCGAGATGTTTGCCGACTAAATTTATTTTAGTAGGCAAAAAGTAGTATACAACGACTAAATAAATCTTTGTGGCAAAAAAATAAAACTAATGCCAACTAATGTGTCTTTTAGTTGCCTATTGGATCATTTTTTAGCAACTAGTTTTTTTGTCGCCTATTGGGTAACTTTTTAGCGACTAACTATATTTTAGTCGCCTATTGGGCGCTTTTTAGCGACTAACTATTTTTTTGTCACCTATTGGGTCACTTTTTAGCGACTAATTGTGTTTTTAGTCGCCAATAAGTAATATACAACTACTAAAAAAATTTAGTAACTAAAATATGAACCATTGCCGACCAATACAAATTTTAGTTGCCAAAGGGCATACTTTTGGCGACTAAATTTATTTTATTTGGCAAATTTGGTCGCCAAAAGTGCAAATTGTTGTAGTGTAACAGTGTTGTATATATTGAATCCCACTATTTAGGAAGTGCTAAATAAATTGACTTTTTTGCTTATAACGAAAAAACGTGCAAAAAGTAGGGGTGCAATTCGGACAGGTTCGGTCTGGTTGGGAGGTTGTCCAAGCCCAGTCTAAGTTGTGTTGAGACTTGTTCAGGTCTGCCCAAGCTCGAATTGTAACCCAAACTTGTCTGCCTAAGCCCGATCCAAGTTAAACCCGAACTGCTCGAATTGTAAATGAATTTCACTTTTTTTTATTTATTTATTTTTTACAACGCAATTATTAAAATATTAAAATTAGACTTTATTTACACTTTTTAAAGAAAATCATTAATAATATCAAAATAAATAATTTATATAATGTAAGAGAGATGCCGCAATAGTAGTCTTTACAATTAATGAGTTAGAATAAAAAATAAAAATTTTTGTGTTACTTGTGTATATAATATATATTTAATATGAGTTAATAATCTAAATTATATTAAATCATGTAATGGCTAATATTTTATATGTACACTTAATATTTATATATCTATATATGTATAATTCGAGTTTCGGGTTGCTCGGGTTCTTTGATATCTTTACCAAAGCCCAAGTAAATTTAATTCGAGTTTCTGAATTTTTACTTAAGCACGTACTAAATTTAAAAATATCTTGTCCAAACTCTAAAAAGTTGGAGAACTTACCAATAAGTCGCATATACAAAGTTCAAGATCTATCTAATCTCCAAACAAAACACTTACACCAATTAGTCCTATATATTTTTATTTTTTTAATTGTTACCAAAACACTTACACCAATTAGTCCTTTACATTCTACTACCGTCAAACGGTCACCGGAGACTCGTCGGAATATTCAACATCATCGGAAAGTCGTCAACAGTGTTGTATATATTGAATCCCACTATTTAGGAAGTGCTAAATAAATTGACTTTTTTGCTTATAACGAAAAGACGTGCAAAAAGTAGGGGTGCAATTCGGACAGGTTCGGTCTGGTTGGGAGGTTGTCCAAGCCCAGTCTAAGTTGTGTTGAGACTTGTTCAGGTCTGCCCAAGCTCGAATTGTAACCCAAACTTGTCTGCCTAAGCCCGATCCAAGTTAAACCCGAACTGCTCGAATTGTAAATGAATTTCACTTTTTTTTATTTATTTATTTTTTACAACGCAATTATTAAAATATTAAAATTAGACTTTATTTACACTTTTTAAAGAAAATCATTAATAATATCAAAATAAATAATTTATATAATGTAAGAGAGATGCCGCAATAGTAGTCTTTGCAATTAATGAGTTAGAATAAAAAATAAAAATTTGTGTGTTACTTGTGTATATAATATATATTTAATATGAGTTAATAATCTAAATTATATTAAATCATGTAATGGCTAATATTTTATATGTATACTTAATATTTATATATCTATATATGTATAATTCGAGTTTCGGGTTGCTCGGGTTCTTTGATATCTTTACCAAAGCCCAAGTAAATTTAATTCGAGTTTCTGAATTTTTACTTAAGCACATACTAAATTTAAAAATATCTTGTCCAAACTCTAAAAAGTTGGAGAACTTACCAATAAGTCCCATATACAAAGTTCAAGATCTATCTAATCTCCAAACAAAACACTTACACCAATTAGTCCTATATATTTTTATTTTTTTAATTGTTACCAAAACACTTACACCAATTAGTCCTTTACATTCTACTACCGTCAAACTTCCGTCAAACGGTCACCGGAGACTCGTCGGAATATTCAACATCATCGGAAAGTCGCCGGAGTATCGCCGGAAGTTCACCGGAGTGTTAAGAACGTTAATGGAAGTCGCCGGAATGTTCAGAACGTTAAGAACATCATTGGAGATTTACCGGAATATCCAGAATATCGCCGGGAAAAAAAATAAATGGAGAAATTAGAGTGAAAAAATATAGCAAAATGTGCTAAATATTGATAAACTAAAAGAAAAAAAAATGGAACGAAAAAAAAAAAAGCAACAATGGGAAAAACATATGCTATTTTTCAATTTTTGTAAGGTTTAAGCAAATAATCTCCAATGTTGATCAAACTGGAAAGTAAGTTTTGAAACTGTAAAATATTACTGCTTTGCTGCTTCTCATCAATTCTATTTTCTTTCTGATTAATCTGTTGTCAGTCATCTTAATCTGTCTTAACTCTATCTGTGTTTTCCACTTAGTAACTAGCCACGCACTCTTCGTCCCTGTCCTTGGTAAGTCCTTTGGTTAGGGAGTGCTGGATTTTAGGGGTCTTCCAAAATGGGTATGTGTGAAAGCTTAGTATGTGAAAACATGATAAATTTAGACAATGTATTAAGATTCCTGTAAAACAGTTTAATTACAAAGAAAAATAAATCGATTATTTAGAAGTAACTCATCAGTCAGTTCTAGATCATCAATAACTTTGCCTTCTTTATCTAATCAAGGATTAGTAATCAATGAAGAAGATGTAGAAATACAGATTGATAAAATTGATTTA